AAATGGCATTTATTGTTTGAATACTGCAATACAATGGACAGAATTTGAAATCTGAGACTTTGTTTCATATTAAAAGCACCAAAGCACAAAGCTTATTGCGATTTATTGGATGGGAAGTGCCCTTCAATGTTCCGTCCATTAACTGAAAACAGGCTAGACTAATCAATTCTTGGGATTTAAGAATCGATATTGTTCCGTAAAAATGAGAATCGATTAATATCGCGATATCAATATTTTTTACTCAGCTCTAATAAACGCACAGAAAAGCATCTGCCAGGCAGGTCACAACAACCAATTTTTAGGCATCAAAGAAAAAAAGTTAATGAACTCAAATAATCAACTAAATTCTGATCCATTCCACTTCCCAATCCTTTCTACAAACCAGAACTCTTATGCTGGAGTTGCTTGTAATTCTCTAAATATGTAACTTTGAAAGCTCTTTTATGAGATTTTTTACACACACACACACAAACCTGTTCGATTTTGAGCAGTGTGACATCTATGAGGATGGTGAACTTTTGAACAGCAGCAAGTCCCTTTAATAAAGCAATGACCCAGGTGTCCACATGATTGGCTAGAGGCCAGGACAACCAGTCAATCATCCTGAAAAAGATAGAGAGAGAAAGCAGGGTCAGGACAGGCAACATATAAAATAAAAGCCTTACATAAGAGTAACAGTGCCACAGAAAAACCTTGACCTCAACATTCAACCCTAAAAACAGTGGCAGAATTTGGTAAAGATAAAACTGTAAAACTCAATTAATTAGACAGGCTTTTTGATTAATAGAATTTAATTTAACCATTAAAACGGAGTATAGAAAAATTAAAATGGAAAAACCTGAACTTGGAAATAAAAAGGATTTCATAGTGCCCTATAATTATAATAAATTTTTTTGGGGTAATAAAAATATGTAAGTGAAAAATAGCCTTTAAAATTACTTAAAATACATATATAATATAAATGAGGCAATAATAATAAGTTCAAATAAAGTATCAAAAGCAAGAAATAATTTTTTGGTTTTATTGAACAAAACTGTTAAAATACATAATGTATTATAAACAATAGAGCTAATGTACATTACGCATTCAACATGCAGAGATGGGAGTTTGAGACGCTCCACACATGTAAATGATAACAGTTCCTGTGGAACTACTGTGAACGGAGCCTCTGTGTGACGCACGTACTTGACCTACATGCATGTAAATAATTAAAGCGCATATACTGTATTAGAACTGCATCGCATATAATTATTTATTTAAATCGTAGCGCTTGTGAATTCACAATTATGCTTAATTATGCAATTAAAAATGCAATTACTACATACTTGAAGCACACAAGTAGAGAAAACAACATGATGGCAGTTGGATCAAGGGCTTAGTCATTTAAACGGACACAAAAGCACTATTCACCAGCTTTACAAAGAGCACACACACACATAGTCTGACCTGCAGAGTGCTTGTGTCATACTGGCATCTTTAACATTCTGGTCAGTGGTGAGGCTTTTGATGAGGACTGTGATCATTTGCAGAGGGATGTGCTGGACCAGGCTTGCTAGAGCAATGGAGGGTTCAAATGAAGGGTCTGAAAAATGAAAACAAACACATTGTGGAATGATTATTAGGGAACAATACATTATAATTTCATATTTTTCATATGCATATGCCATATTTAGGATTTTTTTAAAGGGGTCATTTCATACATTTTTATTTTTATTTTTTATTGTGCATATACCATATTTTAAAGGGGTCATTTCATTTATTGTTTGACTGATCTCTCGTGAAGGTCCTTTAATGTTTCTAAGCTTTTTGCATCAAAAATAGTTGTAATTCAGTTTTTCAAAAAAAATTGCCATTTTCCACCCTTTCTGACCATTAGAATTGAACGGTTGTGTTGCTGCTGTGCTTTTAAGAAACACCCCTTTCAATCATTGTTTCAAAATGCATGTTAACAGACAATAACATTTAAATACAGCTACAAATCCCCGAAAAAAATCCTGCAAAAATAGTAAATGCATACTTGCCAATTCCCACTCACACACATGTAGTCTAATCAGGATTATATTAAAAAGTGTGAAACATTATTATTATTATTATTATTATTATTATTATTATGTTAAGCTTCTAGAGGTTCCTCAAAACATTCAGAATACAACATTTATTTTATTTTATTTATTTAGTCATTTAGCAGATGCTTTTATCCAAAGCGACTTACAAATGAGGACAACAGAAGCAATCAATTGTAGTATTAAAACAACTAAAAACAAACAACTTACCTACTTAAAATAAATGCATAATAAAAAAGTAAATATATCCAACAGGCATTGCATAATATTAAACTATTATATAAAATATAAAAACTAATGTTTTAAAATATAAAAAGTAAAAAAGTAATTTATTTTAAAATGTACTATAATTATTATAATATTATAACATTAACACATATATAACAATACAGTCAATACTACATTATTTTTCAAATATTTACTTAAAATATTTATTTGAAGCAACCCCACAGATTTAAGATTTTAATAGTTTACCAAGACATTCACATGTTTATGGTTCTCTGATGATGGTTAATGGTCACATGACATGCAGGTAAACAAATAAAATATTTTATCTATTTATTTTTATAATTTATGTGTATTATTCTGGTTGTTTTTATTTTAAAATTACCAATTTCTTTTAATTTTCCATTTTTACAATAAAAAAAAAAAACTGTTTGGGGAAACCCTGAATTATGAAGATTAAAAAATCTGTCATTATTTACTGTCACCCTCATGTCTATATGTTTACTATGGGCATTTTTTAATTATATTTTTATAGTGCTTCTGCATTCCTTTTAAAGCTCCATTCCAATGCATTCTAATTTCCTGAATTTGAAATATCGAATGAATGAATGAATGATGCATTTATATAGCACTTTATTGTGTATTGCTGTACACCCAAAGTGCTTTACAATCATGTGGGGGGAGCGGGGTCTCTCCTCAACCACCACCAAATATCTTCTCAAGAGGAATCATTGCTTACTTGTGGATGAGATGCTTACCTGTGGATGAGATGACGGCAAACACCTCCTGCAGTGACGGTAACAGCGTGGCCGGCTCAGCTTTCCAGATGCCCTGCAGCATCACACTCACCCTGGTCACCTGGGTCACATACTCCCTCAACTCCCGCTCTTCAGTGACAGGACAGTTGAAATACGCAAAGGTGCGCACAAGCTGCTGGCAGAACAGAACTCCAGCCTTCTCTCGTGGGACGCACTGAGGGAAGTCCATCAGTATGGTGGCCAGCTTGGCACAAGTTGCTGGTTCTGGCCGTTCACAGATGATGCGTAGGACCTCCGTCTGTAGCAGCGGTGCCAACTCCAACACAGCCGGGCAGCTGATGAGCAGTCGGAGGGAACCGTGAAGAAAGTCCAAGATGGCAGGGTCTCTGTGGTCCAGAGAGCCATAGCCCTGCTGTAGGAGACCAAGCACGTATTCCTTACTGAAGAAGCGGGCAAACTCTTCGCGATGGTAACGCGCGTACGCTTCTTGCACTTGGAGGCCAACCTGTCGCTGAAAAGCATCCTCGCCCAGGAGAATAAGGCGGGTGGTGAGATGGTACAAGGCCTGGCACTGCTCCTCGGTCACTTCCTTTTCTGCAGCCTCCATCACTTTTTTCACAATAGCCCGTTTGACAGTCAGAGGATGGGAGGAGCTGACCAGCGCTTCCAAAATCTTATCCATGGTTGGACTGTATTGCACCACAGGAAAGGTTAGGTAAGCCAATGGAGCTGTAACTGTAGATGAGAGAATGATATTATTTCTAGTGTCAAATTATGTCTATAGTATTATGTCTAGTGTATTAGTCATGTCTGGCCACACATCATGTCAGTTAGCATTTCAAATTTACAAAAAAAAAAAAAGTTTTGATAGCAATTTCTGAGTGAAAATTGTTTCTACGCCTTTAGTGCACATTTACACTACATACATATACAGATTTAAAAGAGTTTTTTATCTTTTACCTTCCTGTATACTTTTCTGAAACAAATTCAGAAACTTTACACAGAAACTTTATTCCACCCCACAGTTCAAGTTTAAAAAAAAAAAAAAGAACTATATTGAACTATACTAAAAAAAATGAACTAACTTATTTTAAAACGAACGTTAAAGAGAGTATTTGACCCAATTTCTCCTATTGTCATCACTTTGAAGAAACAATTACAAATAAAAAGTAATTTATTGCCAAACTTCTGTATTAACCAAAAAAAAAAAAAACTTGATTTTGCTGTTCAAATGGTTTCTCAATATTCCAAATAATAAAAATAGTATATTTTATCAATTAATCAATTAATATCATAAATTGATTAAATAATACATTTACAAATTAAAATAAATTAAACAAAATTGACAATTCTTGGCATTAATATAACACTGACATGAATATGTTTGTGTGTGTGTGTGTGTATATATATATATATATATATATATATATATATATAACCCTCTTTGTTTACTGTCTTTATGATTTTAACGCTAACAATTCTTAGCATTAACTTTCCCCCATTCATTCTCAATTACAACCCAGAAAAGTCACTGCACGCTAAGGGGTCTCTGTTGTAAGTCTATGGACTGAAGGGAGGCAAGCCTCCGCTGTAACTTTACCTGCGGGTGTCGCTGTTGGACAGTGTCACTTTATATAAATGAGTGATCTTTATACTTTTAATGCCATATTTATTAATATTTGCGATTTATGTTTGTAATATAGATTATTTTGTCATCCAATTTTTTTAGGAGACACTGCCTCCCTTGCCTCGGAACACCCCTGCCCTGATATATATATATATATATTGTTATATACATAGACATGCGAATCTTCAAACCAAGCATCAGAATGGTGAAGGTGACTGAAATGAAAGGCAGTAACTCAAATAACCACTCATTATAACCAGGGATGCAAAACGTACAACACGTCACGTCAAACTTTAAAGCAGATGTGGTTGGAACAGGACTTTCTCATCATGGATGTGCAGCCCACAAATTTGCAGCATCTATCATGTCACTAAAGATTGGTTTCCAGCACCTCGTTGAAAAAGGCAGTTCTGAAGGCAAACAAACACGGTACTAAGGTAAGTGGCAGTGAGTTTTCATGTCCTTTAAATAAACAAATCTACTAGACACTGTCGTAGCTGCATGTTGATAATGATGTTCTAGGATTTGCATGTTACATGTCAGAGCCCCAGTGTGTCTTTATGATTTTAACGCTAACAATTCTTAGCATTAATATAACACTGACATGAATATTCAAATTAAAGGATGTTTAAATTAGTTAAAGATAAAGTGGTATGTCTTTAAGCACTCCTAAAAATGACAAAGCTGCTAGTATGAGAGACAATTCCAACTGCTAATATTATTTCATCTCTCTTACTTATGTAAACAATGTCTTTTTACAAAAAAAATAAAAAAATCAACCATAACAAATGTGTATTTATTGTGTGTTACTCCCCTAGACAGAGCATTCTCGAAAGATCAATATCATATGTTATTGTTTGTTTAAAGTAAGAACATAAGTGTTTTTTCTAAAGCTGTCATTAGGACAAAGCTACCCGCTAACTACTCTGCTAGCTAGCTTGGCTAATACAAAGAAGTAAACCAACCATTTAGTAGAACGACAAAAAAAATAAACCCGAGGCAGAAAAAAAATCGCACACACTGTTTACAGGTTAAATATCTGGTTTGTTCCTATCATTATGGACGATATCAGCAGCTAAGTGGCTGATTTAAGAATCGAAACAAAGCAGATCCTCACAAATGCCACAGCACTGACTTAGCAAAAACAAGAATTACTCGCCTGTCTTTTCTCAAAGATGTCAGCAACGATCGACACATACCAAATTATGTCATTCCGAAAATGTCTTGGTACAGAACTTGAAATAAATCACATCAAAAGCCGAAATACATATTTTTAGGAGATTAATGTTGTGAGCTTCTTGGTAAACTGCGACCACTTTCAATCAGCTGTTGAAACACACATACGTCATCTGAACGCGCGCAAATAATGTTAGGACCCCACACTTGCGTCCAACGTGTTATTAATTATAATAAATCGTTCATTTTTAGAATAATTCAATAATAATTCTTAATTCACCTTATCCGGTTGGCTTAATCTACCGTTTTTTTTAGATGTGGTTGGAACAGGACTTTCTCATCATGGATGTGCAGCCCACAAATTTGCAGCATCTATCATGTCACTAAAGATTGGTTTCCAGCACCTCGTTGAAAAAGGCAGTTCTGAAGGCAAACAAACACGGTACTAAGGTAAGTGGCAGTGAGTTTTCATGTCCTTTAAATAAACAAATCTACTAGACACTGTCGTAGCTGCATGTTGATAATGATGTTCTAGGATTTGCATGTTACATGTCAGAGCCCCAGTGAAGGTGATAAACTGTTCAGTGCTCAACCATCCTTAAACCAAAGCAGCTCACTACAGCATAGATGAAGATGACTCTTACTGGACTTCTCCTGTTTGTCCTTGGACTGAATGCAGAAGAATATTATAGAGCACACATTTATGTGTCCACTCCAATGGCCTGGATTCAAGCTAATAGTTACTGTAGAACATACTATACAGACCTGTCCACCATCACTAGTCAGGAGGAACATCAGAAGTTGGTAGCAGCCGCAGGAGGAACATTCTCTCAAGCTTGGATTGGTCTATTCAGAGCAGCTGAAAAGCCAAACACCCTGGTATGGTCGAATCAAGAATCATATAGCTTCACTAAGTTAAACAATAATGACAAGACTTTCAACTGTGTATATGCTACAGAGCTTGAATGGTATATAGGTTATTGTAAAAATAAGCTTCCTTTCTTCTGCCATTTCGACTATGAATTGAGGCTTATAAGGATGAATATGACTTGGGAAGATGCCCTTGATTACTGTAGGTATTGGTTCACTGATTTGGCCAGCGCAACAGACCAGTATCAGTTGGAAATTTTGCAAAATAATAGCAAAGCTTCCAAGACAGAAGGTGTATGGACAGGACTGCATTTCCTGGCAGGAGAATGGCACTGGGTGAGCAAGACTTTCACACATATTCCATATCAGGGCTCACTGCCGTCATGCCCAGAAGAGCCGTACCGCTGTGGAGCTTACAACAACAGAACAGTGCAGTGGGGAGATGAGAGACTGTGAGGAGAGGCTCGACTTCATGTGTTACAAGGTGAAAGTGAGTAACAGAAATGTATTTATATTTTTTCTCATTAAATTTAACAGTAATAAAACTTTCAATGGGTTTATTCTTTATTAAACGTAATTATGGTATTCTTCTGTAGCCTGACGACGATACCGTTTTCCCCCAAAGTCCACGGTATAGTTCGAACACTGACTGCACCTGCTTCCTCTTTACGATGATTTTCCTTTCTATTTTACTCTGCGTGTTACGAGGCTTTTTGCCAGACTATTGTGCTTAGATGCTAGTCTATTGGCTACTCTATTCCGTCAGTTGTGTGATCTAGTCGTGTCAAATTGTGTGACTTACCTGGATTTCTGCCCAGTCTCCCAGTTACCCGCTGCCAGCAGTTCACTCTCCTCCGGACGCGGTCCTCCGGCCCGTACAGCCTGAGAGGTATTCGCTCCTCGCCCTGGAGGCTGGGGTGGCGCCCCGTTCTCTCAAGTCAAGTCAACCCCTATGTTCCAGTTCTTCTGTGTTAATGTCCAGTTCTGCGACCGCCAGATACGGCCAGTGAACGACAGACTGCCTGAGTTTATTTTTGTGGACAATAAATCTTCTGTTTGACTTGCCTTTGCTTCTGGGTCCTTTTATCGTGACATATATAGAGATATAGAGTGACAATATTTACATGCATTTTATGTCAGTAGTCCACTGTACTGTTATAAAGATTTGACTGATTTACATTACAAGCTAGCAGAGTTTTATCTTACATTTTGGCCATATAAATAACCATCTGCACCAAATGGCATATTTTTGGACCCCATATATCCAAAACATGGGGCTCAAACTCAAAAATAGCTGTTTGTTTGAAATAAATTGGATTTTTATGACTTTTTATTTACAGTTTTATTCATTTAAAGAATTTACAATTTTAACTAATGTCAACAAGTACTGTAGAACCTTACTGTAAAATCTTACTTACACATTCATGCACCCACACATTAAAATATAATCCAAAAGAATCAACAATGAGTGACACTACCCTAGTGAAAAATACTGTAAATACACTAACATTTATTTGAAGTATACTACAAATACATTTACATATTTGTGTACTTAAAACAAACCCTGCAATTGTACTTTTAGTATACTATAACGGGTATACTTAAAGTCTGCTAAATTGGAAGACCATAACATAATGTTCGGGGAGGTCCTGCCATTCCAGCATCTCAATGATGTGGTGTGAGCTGGGACACTTATTGGCAAGGACTGTCAGGCCGATTTCCAGGGGAATGGGTTTGGGATGATCAGGCAATTTTTTTTATGGTTAGATGGAGGTGGTTTCCTTTTTTGAATTTTGCCAAAAGCAGTTTGTTATTTAAACAGTCATTTGCAGTGTGTGATTAATATTAATATAAAACTGAAAACAGAGACTGAGAGGACATAACAGAGAGAGTGCATTCCGTGTTTTCTGATTTCCTGGCAAATTTCTGTGCCACCTGATTAAGAAATCAAAGAATTAGTTATAATTAACATGTCTTATCACTCAAGTCATTAATCGTCATCAGACATGCACAGTGTTGTGAAAGTCCTATCATGAATTTTAAAACCATGTCGATCAAGTTTGGTCGGTCTGATAGTTTAAATAGGTCATAGGATAAAACATAAGACAAAACCATATTATAAAAATATATTATTAAAAAAGAAAAGCAAAGAAATTACCAGAAGGCCGCCCTCCTTCTCCCAGTTTATCACTGGTCACAGTTTGAGCAGATATATCTTTCAAAAGATAAACATTTTAGTAGAGATAAAAATTTCAAACAGTCACATTTCTTTTAGTTTTAGAGAAATTAAATTTCTGTAATTCGACAAGCTTTCTCAATCAAAACTGAATCATTTTCAAATTTTCACATATAAGTAGTTTAAATAGCGTAATATTACAGACTGTATTGCAATAAATATTGTTATGGCAATGCTCCTGTATCTGCTGGTCCTCAGAAGAGGAGAGGATGTCAGAGCTGCTGCTAGGAGCTTCCTGATGATCACAATCCTCTGCAGTACATGTGATGTGCTGTAGAGAAACCTGATCTAAAGAGGGGGATAGAAATTAAATGTTTGAATAATCATAAAAACAATACCATCTCTAATAGCATTGGGGACATTTTTTGTATTATCCATTACTTTATTATCCATTCATATCTAAGTGACTTTTTGATGTCAGAGATCCAATGTATGTATATTCACACAAAGTTGATGTGATTTACCATCAGTAGAGCACCTAGAAGATCTGGTCTCAGCGTCCTGCTCCAGCTTCTCACTCTGCTCCACTTTCTCACCCTGAGCTTTCCCGTCCTGACCAGCTCTTGGGCGCGGTTACATTTTGACACCTCAAGCATATATATGACATACAACATATTATTTGTGAATATGGTTGCCCTGTTATACGCATAAATGATTGTCTTTTGAATTGTCTGTGTAAGTTCTGTTTCTTTGTCTGTGACAGGAGAAACGCGCGCTTTTTCTGGAAAGTAGGAAAAGGATGCGTCCCTTTTGGAATGCAAGGAGAAAGAGGGGAGATGTCCTGAGGTCATGACACTGTCATGGGTGGAGATCTGCCATTCTTCTAGCTCGGACATGGAGCTATTAATCTGTCGCTTTCTGTTTATTGGACTATCAATTTATGCGTTAAACGGTCATGGGGTCCAGGAGTGTCTGTCGCTGGAACATTTCCAGATACCAGGTTCTTTGTTCTGTTGGTTATTAGATAGTTTATTTATGCTTAAGCCAGTCACGAGACAACACTGACGTTCTGTTGCTTAAATGAGTGCAGATGCAGAGGTCAGTTATTGTGGTCTTAGTGCTTTTCTTTGAGTCTCTTGAGAAGATAAGCCGAAGGGGACAGGAACTGCTGAGACACTGAGCTGACCCTGTATGTAGTTTTACGACCGCAGATGGCTGGGGAGGAGAACCTTTAGTTTTTCCGGTGGAATGCAGAGATTCAATGTTCGTTTGTGTCTGCTCACAGATTCAATGGTTTCTGTTTTTGAAGACAGAAATCCTACATCTCTCTCTCCTTCATCTTCCTCAGCAGTACCAGCATGCTGATGAGGATTTGGCATGTTGGCGGTGGATTGTAGCGCTGTACTTGGATAATAATGTTTCACAATTTGTCTTATCAATTTGTCACAAATATTAAATCTAATGTCTAATGTTGTCTATTTTAATGTTTCATGATACAAGTAAATTTGGCTACATTAAAAATACAAAAAGCATATTACTTACTTCAACTAAAACTTGTTGAAGTTTGTTGAAGTGTATACATTAACTGTTTAAACCCAATACTGCTAAATAAAGAAATAATAAGTGCATGAATGTAATGAAATTTTAACTCATTAATTGTATAAGGGAATTAATTATTATTATTTATTCAGGTTTTGAGAGGACTCGGATCTGAAGATTCAGAGTCAACCTGATTCGAACTGATTTCAAATTTGTTATTTTACACTTTAAATCAAGGGTCGTCCAGCGAGCCGTGACCTCAGTATATTTTAACAAATTTAATATGTATTTTCCTGGCCACGGTCAATACAGTTATTATAAGTAAGCTATTATAGTAATTATTATAAGTAAGCTACGAGCTAGGTAGCAAGGGATCTTTGGCAAAGTTTTAACCTTGAAATTATAGAACACCAGACAATTGATTCTTTATAAATGAAACATGAATTTTATTGGCTACTCTAGATTACATCAAAACTAAGCTAAAACACACAAACATACACACACACAGTTTCAGAGGAAGGAAATGAATCCCTACATGAATTTATTTTCATAAATTAGATA